TCCTCGAGAGCCTGACGAAGCTGATCTTCGGTATATTGAGGCATTATATATAGAAGAAGACATGTGCAAAAGATGAGCCCATTTGGACGCGAATTGAAAATGTTGTGATAAAAGGAGGTTGGGGGTGGGCATTGGGTTGTGGTGGATTTTCGCGTTTTTGTGGGTGCCAGAAACAGGGGGGTGCCAGGAAGTGGGTATGTTGACTTACGGCACTCGACAAAAGCCATGGCGGCTCCGGCGGAAGCGAGGAGGAGAATGAACTTCATGTTGACTGGTTGGAAGTGAAATTGACAGGCTCGGTGTATGGTATTGTTGATGATGATGATTTTGCTTTTTTTGAGACGAATGAGCTGCGATTAAGCTTACTTATGTACTTGGATTGAATTCAGCGAATTTTCCGCAGCTCTCGATAAACTTCAGATGAGGAAAGGATGGTATCAAATTGATTGAAAACCCGACGGGATGAACGGGTCATGGCATGCTGTATGACTCTGTTGTTCCACTCTGAACTTTAAACCTGTAGGGCTTTGCGAGCAACCTGCTGACTTTAAAACCGAGCCGCTATTAAGTGAAGCCGCTAATCCAGCTCGGCTTCGGGAACGGATCACAGAAAGGCAGACCCATTATCTCCATCTTGGCGATGACTCGTGTCAGCATCAAAGAGAAGGGTTGAATGACGGGCGCCGTCAGCTGCGTGGAGTCTGAAACCGCCCTGGCATTCAACAAGTTCCAGGATCATTCAGGTACGAGAACCAAGTTGCCTAGGGATCAGACCATAAAGAACGTCTTCGCTGAGTAATTTTATGGATTCTTTGCTTTTGCACTCCCAGTCAGTGCATTGGTATTCAACGAGGCAACGGGACGGGACTTCCGACCAAATTAAGCGAGAGAATCGCAATGTTTCGATATTAATCTGCAATGATTGAAATCGACTAGAATCACGTGTACAGATAGTGTCAGGCTCTGCCTAGATAGGGGATAGCATAAGGGGCAGCAGGAGGAGGACTAGGCAACAAAGGAGTAGCTCAGGTATTTATAGAGCGCTGAGAGTCCACTTCGAGGGAAGAGGCAGATTTCAGCAATGCATCTTCTAGACCCTAACAGCAGTTGGCCTCTGTGAGCTTCTTCCGTATGTCGTATACCTATTGACAGATAGGTCGACCGATGGGATAATCATTTTTTTCAACTGGACAACTTTCCAACAAGCGGCTTTGAACACATTTTTCGATCTCGAGTTCATCCGGCAGCCGGCTTGGTCCTGTCCTTATCGTCAATAGTGGAACTTTGGCACTTGGAAGCGCTTTGACTTTCAGTTGGCAAAGATCTGTTTCTGCTCGCTTGAGACAGATATCTGGTTTGGGGCCGGAAGTAAAGTTAATTAAATATGGCTTTACCAGGTAAATGATACTACTGCGTCAATAGCACAGCCTCTGTGTCTCTTGTGCCATATTTATCAGTGTGAAGTCCGCCGACAAATAGTTTTCAGGCCTGAAACCGAAGGTAGCTGGCTCTTTACAATCTATCAAGGTAAAATGAGTTGTTGGCACGGAGGATGTGTTCGTTGCAGTCAGATTACAATCAAAATTGATGCGAGACTCAACGGATTGAGCTGATATAAGGTAGTGGATGTTTCATCGATATCGGAACTGCATGGTTTTATCAATAAATTGAGGTGGCTCTCTCATGGCTCTCTTAGGGATCAATGCACGATGACACCAAGCGGATGCGTACAGGAATATGTCTTCGGCATTGAGAACTTTAGAACGTTGGCTAGGGACGACAAAGCTAATAGAGATGGATTCCATTCTCTGCCCTTGTTTTTTGCAAATTGAAGGGGATTTGAACTTGTCGAGCAGCTGCTAAATGCTGGTGAGACATTTTAGTCGCCCGGACGGGCGCTGAGGATTTCTCGAGGCGCACTTGTCGATCAGTGGCGCAAGGCCCTCCCAAATCCCTAGCCAAAGTCTCCACGTTTGAGTTATAGACTACGTCTAGAACAGCCGCCATTGCGGGGTGATAGATTCGTTTCACGGCTGGTTCCGCGAGGCAGCAATATTTCCCGTCGTTCTGGGTTCTGTGGAACATGAAGTAACTTTCTATTCCATGTCTGGGAATGGGGCCGGCTCATTTCTCTCGCCTCCTCTCGATGGTATGCGTGCGTTATTGAGATCTCCTTCTGTCTCAGAAATACGCAGATCCGACAATGATGACAAGCTGTCTAACGTACACTACGGATATGTGGCGGCGACCGAGAAGGCCTCACCGCATGTCATTTGCAGCGGGGTTGTGCAGCTGGGGACATGGGCAAGAACGCCGTGCTGTCTTGGAATTCTGCCACCTACGAGACATGGCTGCCCTAATGAATGATCGGTCTTGGCAGTTCCTTCAGCTCCAAAATAACCTTAGCATACGTGCATACCTATGCCCTAGGCTTTAGCGGCTAGCCTCAGATCGTCTGACGCCTCAAAGTGTCTAACATGTGCTTGTGGTCTGGGAAAAGCCGCCATGGGAATCTGCTGTGGCAAAACGGGCGTCTCATCATGTGAAGTGAATCACATCACGATTCACAGTGTGAGTTTAGGTATCTGCCTTTAGTTGAGAAAAGGTAAAGACTTGCATAGATTTACCTGCTACCATGGCTTTTTGTTGCAGGTCGCGACTCATTGACCGAAGGCACAACAGCCACAAATTGGTGGTGGTTCAAGTGCTTTTTGGAAAGTCCAGTGGTGTTGAAGCGAAAACTACGACATACCAACTAGTTGCTCAGAAGAAGAAGAGTTTTCACCCGATAAACTTTTAAATATTGACACTGAATTTGCGACCTTGGAGTCGTAGGCAAGCCGTCGGTGGCGAGGTATGAACTTGATTTAAGTTTGTGGCTAATACAGCTGAACTCGCTAGTAGGGATGAGCGAGTATCCAAGCCAAATCGGTGCAAGAGGCTGCTTCCAGCCGAGTTATGGACAGAGAATCTGGTATCTAAGTGGTGGCGACCGCATACATGGTGATAAGCAGGGCATGAGAGCTTGACGGGTGTTTGTGAAAGACAGTGCCACATAAGTAAGGTGATTATAATGGCGTATAAGAAGACGATTTTCCATGCATGTCGTGAGCAAATAATAAGAAAGACTTCTTTGCCATCTCTCAATCAGATCAACTATTTTGTAGTACCATATTCGCTTATTCAAGCTATTAGCAATGGACGTCAACAACTCTAACCTTACAGACCTCAAATACGGATATGATTTCGTGGTCAGCACAACTCAAGCCAGCATTAACTCTGGCTTGTTGGAATATCTCTGGGAAAGTAACCAGCCAGTTAACTATATTTGCTATATCTCAGTAAGTATTCCCAGATGAAAAATTATGGCAAAATGCCAGGTGGGAGATCAATATTATCGACCAACTGCTTACATAGCCGCCACAGGACTCGAATAACGGAAACGCCACAACCCAGATCAGTCTCGATGAACTGTTGAAGAGGACAGACGGGGTCAACCCGTTTGAGATCCTGGATGGTGCATCGCCGAATGACCCTCGAATTGAAGAGCTCACTCGAAACAACTTCGTCGTTGGCGTGAAGATTCGCATTGGTGTGCCCCCAGGCGTAATGCCCAAGGAGCTTCCTCCAATCCTGGAGCTCGGCAAGAGTGACGGCAAGTCTCTCTTCCGAATGTTTTGCTCCGAGTTTCAGGTTATTCAGAATACGACAAGCGAAGGACCATCCGCAAACGGACGTTGGAACGTCTGGAACCAGCCCTCTGGATCGCCGTGGTATATCGAGACGGACGTCAACATCCTCAATAAGAGCCTTGACTGGGGCCTCGAGACACCCTACTTTAATCACCGCCCAGAGCTTATGGGAAACCTCAAGTCTCAATTCAACTATCTTCCTCCCAGCAAGTCTTACAGCCTTCAACAAACTCTTATGGATCTAGAAACTGCTGCCGATCAAAGCACACCCAATTTCGTGGGGATTCCAGTCGGTTCCCCCGCCCTAGAAATCCTGCAGAAGAACTTCGTCGACCTCTACAGCAAAGCAGCCAAGAGCTACGGACAACCGATTCTTGCAGTTGCCGCCGTTGCTGAAGACCATCCAGATCCTTCCACACTCCAGGTGACTTCGGTTGAAGTGGGCATCAGCCGGTACAAGGACTCCAATGCTTGCGTCGTCAACAATCCGACTCCCGAACAGGCTGCCGCAGCGACCCTCGACCATCTCTGCATGACGAACTGCCACAGTGCTCCGGCAGTCTCGGATCCCCACTGGCACTGGAACTGGGTCCAGCCCGGGGAGGTGAAGAGCCAAAGTGGTGTTATTGCCATCAAGCGAAGTGTATTCGCCGAGCAGTTGATGAACATCATTCTGCCGTCTGCCCGGAAGTCTTGCCTCACCTCTAAAGTTCACATCGATTATGACGATTACCTGGGCAACTGGAAACAAGTGATACAGTTTTCTCCTGGTCAATGGCCACAAACCAGAGATGTGCGAACCCCTGATAACGGCGAATGGATTATTGACATTACTTGGTCGGCCGAGGGCTATCCCGATGTGAAATGCGAGAACTCAGAGATGTGGGGTCGATTTTATGACAGCATCGAAGTCGTCCCTCACTACTATTGTGAGGTAAAGGTCAATGGGAGTATCATCACCATCAGCCAACGATTGTGGGTCGTTGTCTCATTGATGTGTGAAGGTATCACACAGTCACCACTGAATGCATACGACGTCACCATCACCGACACCTACGACTTGTCTGTGGACCACACTGGCCAGCTGAGTATCGATCGTGACAAGGATAAGTTTCAGAAACAAGACAATTCGCAGTCCGCCGAACCAAATTATTGGGGAAACTTATACGCAGGAATCACCGACCATTTGAAGGACATCAAGGCCGAGGTTACACAGCTGGCCAGTCTGGACCTGGAGAGTATCAAATTTCCTCCGACTAACAATTTCGTGTTCCCTGGGGGCAAGGTATTCACGTACACATCAGCCAGATTCTCCAACCACCAAGACTTGATCTGCGACATCACCTACACGGCGCCAGCCGAGCCTTCCCAGCCGCCGCCTCGGGCAGATGCCCCAGTTACCGACCCTTCGTCGGACAATCCTCCGACGAGACCCGCACCGAAGCTTCCTGAAGCCACCGGTCCGCCGGCATACTCCATGGCCCATACGACCGATCTCATTCAGAACTACATTCAGGGAGAGATCGTGGCTCCTACAGCAAAGTTCGAAGCTCTCCAAACTGACGACGGCCACTCCCTACTCTTCTCGCTGAGCACGGACAACGTCTTCAATGTGATCATGGAGCAGAGCCGCACCACCAAGACCGGCTGGGTCCGCATGCCTCTCTCGCCCCTCTCGTCTGCTTCCACATCAGTACGCACTTTTGATGTGGGACAGAGCGTCACAGACGGCACCATTGGAATGGCTCTGGTGGTGTCCGAGGGGGGTTCGGACAAGCTCTTGCTCTCTCTCTGCAACTCCAGTTCCGACACATCCTGGACGGCGAAGCCTCAGTGGTCTACAATCGACTTTGATGCAGAAGGCCATGCTGGTTCGGAGTCTATCAACATTGTCCGCGTCATGTTCGCTGAGCCTCAGGGAAGCCGGCAGCACATCATTGTCGACATCGACCGCTCGTCGAATAAGGCAGACAAGGACATTGCTCGCTACTACGTCAACCCCCATAAGACGTCCGGTAGATCCTGGACCTTGCATGGTCTTCCGGTCGACATTCAGACGGGCTACTATCAGAGTTGCGTGGGCAGAGCGGCCTACGGGTTTGTTGACGGGGTGTACACCCTGGGAACCGCCGGCGACTCGGCCCAGCTTGTCTACGTGCCTATTGAAAACGCCTTCGGTGACGGACCTCCGTTGCCGTGTCGCCTCAAGTTGCCGACAGAGACGCAGGCATCTGCCATCGCCGCCGCTCGCAGATCCGGTTCCCTCGCGTCTCCAGACGGAACAACGGACTTGTTCGCTGTCAGCAACTCGACTCTCTTCTATTTCCCAGCTGAATGCCAGACTGAAGGGTCAGTGGCCACACAATTGCTTGAGAGTAACGTACTTTCGGGCACCACAGAGCTTGCAGCCATGACGCATAGAGGTGTGACGACGATCTGGGGCAAGAATGCCAGCAACGATGTGTACTACCTCTCCTGCCCATCCAGCCAGCTCAACAACCAGAAGGCCTGGAGTGTCCCTGTGCCAATCGTGTTCGGCGTGGAGCAGATGACGCCGTACCTCAACCGCAGCGACGGCGGCAATGCAATCTTCACATCAGGTTCCGGCAAGCTTGAGAGATTGACGCAGGCCACTGGCACGGACGCAAAGTTGTGGGCTGTGGATGAGATCAAGCTCGAGGCCACGGGGACTAAGACCAAGCCGCTTCAGTTCAAGTCGTACACGACTACGATCCAAGTTCTGGATGAACACGAACTTCCGACCACTGGCGTCAATTTGTCGATTTCTACCAGCTCTCGCACACCCGTGTACATGAACGGGATCTACTACGTTCTTGGGCCGGCACCTGTCACGGTGGTTACGGATGCGACCGGGAGCTTGACAGTTGTTGAGGCACTGCAAGACAGCATCAACGGCACTCTCATGAAGGTAACTTGCAACAATGGAGAGGCCGAGATTACCATCAATCCGATGGAGAAGTCGTTCCAGACGGTAGCAGCTCTCAGTAGCGAAGGAGCCCTCCGGGACGCCAAAGTACCAACCAACACGGTCTCTGGTGGCATTAGGGGCACGCCTACGTGGACCACTCTCGTAGGGGAGACTGTATCGTCGAATGATATGGCCAACGTCGCGAACAGCCTCAGCAAACTCGGCACAACGTATGGACTCGTCAAGCCCACAGTCACACCAAGATCTTGTATGAGCGTGATACCACACACGCTTTACACGTCCTCGTCCTCGGTCGACAGCCTGGGACATGATGTAGCCATCGCGGCCGGCGACCTGTTCCGCTGGCTCAAATCCGACGTGGATCATGTCATCGACATCATCAAGGACGATGCCACTGAAGCATGGCACTTCGTAGCCACCATCTCCGGCAAAGTCTACCGCGCCGCATTGACCTCGGTCGAAGCCATTGTCGGGGCGGCGGAGTGGATCTTCAACGCCATCAAGACTGGCATCAAGAAGGTCATGTCCTTCGTCGAGTTTCTCTATGATTGGGATGATATCGAACGGACCAAGAAGATCCTTTGCAACATGACGAGGCAGTGGCTGAGCAGCCAGGTAGCCTCCATCCAGACTACCAAGTCTATGTTTGATGTGCAGATGGCCAACGCCGAGGAGAAAGTCAAGAACTGGGCGGGTATCCCGGACTGTTCAAAGATGCTCGGCAGCAAGGCCTCACAACCGACAGGAGCAAGCGCCTCGAATCCTGCAAAGGGCCACACCTCGGGATCTCAGATGATGATGACCCACTACAAGAACCATGGCGCGAATCTAACAATCGTCGGGGCGACGCCCAAAATGGCACGGGATGCGTCGCATCAGGCCATCAACGATCTTCTTGACGCGCTTGAGAAGGAGGGCCAGACTCTCTCGGATGCATATGCTCAGCTCAAAAGCTTGGCCGAGGGATTCTCGTCTATGACGGTTGAAGCGGTGCTGAAAGAGCTCGTTGGGATCGTCGGCGTCACCATGCTATCCACCGTCCAGGTCGTCGTCGACGCCTTGCTCACCGTTCTCATCGACCTCGCTGACAGTGCGATCGGTCTTCTGGATACAAGGATTCACATCCCCGTCATCTCTGACATCCTAAACGACATTGGAATATCAGATGTGACCTACCTCGATCTGGTATGCTGGATTCCCGCCATGTCCTACACGGTAATCTACAAGATCGCCAATCAAGAGGCTCCGTTCGCCGCTCATGAGGCGGAAGTCCAAGCATTCCTTGCCGCTGACAACTGGGAGGCTTTGCAAACTTGTCTTGGCTCAAAGCAATCCAGGTCGCGGGCTCAATCGTTTGAAGGACAGGAGAAAAGTCACATGGGTACGGCTGGAGCTGTTTCCGAATCGTCGAACACGTTCATGGCCCGACAAGAACAACAACCCAACTCTCACCGAAGCGATACCTCAGTGACTTCAGTCTCATCGGCTGCATCTGTCACATCGACCAGCACAGCACCTACGTCGCCTACATCAACCAGATCCAACAAGCCAGCGGGCCGGACCTTCGGCCAGGAGATCTATCATCTGGGCCACATCATAGGCAGCACGACCAAATTAATGGCAGCGTACGTCGACTACTGTGAGGTCTTGCTTCCGGCAGAAGACAACCCGTACAGCAAAGTTTCGACGAGTCTCCTCGTCCTCGATGAAGGTTCTGCCATGATAGCCGACCTAGCCATGGACAATGCCCCGATCGAGGATGCGGCAATACGTAGGCTTTCAAAATTGACTACTATCATAAGAGTTGGTTCCCTCATCGTCTTCAATGACCTTGTGCAGAACCAACTTCACAACACGAGATTCCGATCCCTCGTCGTCACGGGTCCCGCGGATGTTGTACGCACCACAGGAGCAATGGTCGATGCTGTTCTCGCCGCACCGGCGGCGATCATTTCATTGGACCATCTCTTTGAAATTGCTCGTGATGTCGTCGCCGATAGAGAGATGGACCAGGAACGAGGAGCGGCTGTTGCGGGCGAGGTCTCCAACCTTGCATCCTACGTTTCGCGGTTCTGTTACTACTTAGCCGCTCAGGCCCCGAGGCCAACGGGCTTGCCATTCGCTCAGTATATGGCGTACGCAGACCTTGCTGGCGCTGGACTGGAAGTCGTCCAAGCCGAGCTTTAAAAGCTCGAGACGAAATGATACGGCTAGGGTACGCCAAGGTAAGGGTTAACACCAACACTCGACCAGAGTGGACCCGATAATCTCTTCATCTGACCTCATCGGGGCTGTATTCGCTCGTGGGCGAGTCCTCAGTTGAACGGGCTAAATTTAGATTACCATTTTATACGTCTTGCCGGATTATCTCGCCCCTCCCAAGTAGTACCTAAATGCAGAATGGCTCTGACTCTGGAGTTGTCAGTCGTAGTCTTTCATTTTTGGTGATATCATTACGTGCGGAAAATGCTATTTCTTATGGAAGTCGGCTTGTATTTAGTAACGACTTCTCAGTCCAGCGAGAACTTAGAGACCATATTCACAGCAGCTCGGTGGCCTCAGAGACAAAGGTATTGTTAGGAGGGCCTTTGGGAGCAGATCCGGCAGCGTCACGCCTTGCGCTTCGCCAATATTCTTTGAACAGTCGACATTATCGCTAAGCAATACTGTGAAACTAGGGCAGAGGAATGCTCAAAGAAAACAAAAACCCCCCCATGCTATCCCGCTCGTCCGGAACCCGGAATCAGCCCACCGCCGGCTCCATCATTCCACGCATCTCAAGCGCATCCTACAACCGGCCATTCATACAGCGGCACAGATCCAGCGGCGTAGCGCAGCGGAGGACCCCGGTCAACGGGAAGGATGTCGATACCAAACCCGTATAAGTAAATAAATCCCGAAAAGAGACTGGGTTTTTTTTGCGCCGCAGGTATACATAAGACCCGGGTCGGGTTGTGATATTAGGGCCTGGGCGGAACGGACAACATCCGAGGAGGATTCCTCGCATCAAGAAATTTAGATCCCAGAAAAGAAAGAAAGGGAAGAAGAGAAAAGTGGAAAGGTTGCCAAGTCCTCGGGTTCGCGATGGAGTCAGATCAAAATCTCTTCCAACCTTGCCAACTTCGTACATGAACACTTCACTAACCGGAAGTCTTCCCCTACCCCACGCCCACAACCTTGGGCTCAGCTCAAAGAAGGCACCGGTGTTCTCTCCGCGCACCACGCACGCGTCTTTCCCCCCAGATCCACTAGACCCTCTATCTCAACCCTGACATTGACGGTTTTGACTTAGTATACACTATACGGGGTAGCTGGGTCTGGAACCATGTCAAATCTCAGCGCCCAAGCTGGAGCGAGTCCGAACAAAACATCTCTGCGCAACAGGGTAAATGAGGGGAAAAGAATATGAGCGGGGTGCCCCCATTGAAAAAACTCTTGGAGAAATCTGGAGCGGGTGGGTATAAACCTGTATGTACGGAGGACACACTAAAGCGAGCAACATCCAGGGCCTCCACAACGGACGCCAATAAAACGGTGCCCCAATGAACCAACCCAACCGGCCCCATCGCGACGTTTGGCGCCCACTGCACAACGTACGAGACTGCTTCCAACATCGCGGCATCGCTGATCGCAAATGTCTCACCGCACAGACTGGACGAACCCCAGACGGAGAAGGCCTGGCCGCCTGACCAAAAAACCCTGCATTGCATATTTCTAGAAAACGTGGAGTCTGGAGATGTCGGGGAAAGGGAGAGATGTGAGACTGCAACGCGGGAAAAATCTCATACATGATCCATCCCGGGGGGTTGGCCATACAATTGAGAGAATATAAGGTAGTGATATACGTCTGGCTGTAGTGATCTGATAAAAACTCGGATCAAGGGCTCTGTATAATCTCTTAATTCCAACGGCAAAAAACCCTTGCCTTGACGTGAGAATTCAACCGTTTGCCAGGGTTGCAAGGGACTTCGCTGTGAAGCACTCTAGCCCTGAACCTAAGGGAGTATGGGCTCAGGCAGTAGACCAAGCCAGAACAGCTGCACAACCTAAAGAAAACCCAGCCAAGCCAAAGCAATCATTGTTGAGGCTTCTTTGAGCAAATCGAGAGTGACCATCGCCGTCTCAAGACGCCGACTGTCAATCTGACTTCTTGAGAAGGCAAGTAGCCGACCGCCGGTTACTGCTCACGCGGCAATAGAAGATAGAGCGGGATAAGTGGGTCCCGGGCACTAGTCTGGACCGGTTCCGCCCTCCATCGGGTCTAGCACCATGGATGACTAATTTCCCATGAAATGCAAAAGAAAACAAGCACTCGCAAGCTTCAACGCCCAGCGACGCCGATACTCAGCCAGCGGCTTGGCGGAAAGCTTGTCCACACGAGCGAAGAAATGTCGTGATTTGAAACAACATGTCGCACACATGTGCTGATCGTCACGGGCGAGTGCGGTAAGACAGGGGGACTTTTTTGAAAATGGTATCAATCTTTATATTCATTCATTCGCGCCGTGGCGCTTCCCATGGGGTATTGTGTATGGCATCACAGCCATTGGAGGCCTATGCCCGGCCTCCTTCCTGTACCTGTGTACCGTAATTCCAAATCATTCCAGTTGTACTTCACAAAAGTGTTGTACGTCTATCGCTGAGCCCGGCAGCGACCGATCTTACTCCTTGCGGGTGTCCTCGACGTTGGAGGCCCTGATGCTACCCTTCTCCTCGTCGTGGTCGTCAATCTCCTTGGTCTCGACGGCCTCACCTTGCACACCGGCGACGGCGTGCTCGAAGCTGCGGCCGCGACGCTCGGGTCCGAACATGGTGGTGACGACAATGCCCATGGCGATGATGGCCGTGGCGATACCCATGACAGGTCCGTAGGCCTCGACGCTGTGGCCTGAGGGGGCTCTGACAAAGGTCTTCTCGGAGATGGCGTTGACAATCTGTGCAGACGGGGACGAAATCATGTTACCCAGCTGGTAGGTGATACCTGGGAAAGAGGAGCGGAAGGCCGGGGGCGAAAGCTCGTTGAGGTGGATGGGAATGACACCCCAGGCACCCTGGACGAAGAACTGCATGAAGAAACCGCTAGCACTCAGGCTGCGCTCGCCCTGTGGAAGGATCCAGGCGGGGATGAGGCAGGCAGAGATGAGAGCAGAGACGATAATGGCACGGCGACGACCGACGAACTGGGACAGGTAGCCAATGATGGTGCCACCAACGCAAGCGCCAGCCTTCATGAGAATGGAGGCGCGGGAAGCACCAGCGTTGTCCATCTCCTTCTGAGCAATCATGAAGGTCGTGTACGAGTCTTGCGAGGTGTGGGAGTAGTAGTTGAACCAGGTCATGAGGATGATGCAGTAGACACACATCTTCCACTCCTGGGCCAGCATCTTCTTGGTCTCGCGCCAGAAGGCGCCGGGTGAGGCCGACTTCTTTCCGTGGGCCTTGGCCTCGAGGAACTGCTGGGACTCGGGGAAAGCAATGCGGACAAGACCGACGGCGATGGAGATACCGGCAGCGATCCAGAAGACCGTCTTCCAGGTCTCGGTGCCACCACCGACACCGAGGTTGGCGCAAGCGGCGAGGACGTAGCCGAATGAGTAGCCCTGTTGGAGGATACCGGACATCAAACCACGAGCGTTGGAGCTGGGAATCTGTTAGCGAGCTAGTGACGAAAGGCAGAAGATTGATTGACATACGGGCAGTGCTCAAGAGCCATGGCAATGGCGTTGCCGTAGACACCTCCCATGAAGAGACCGAACAAACTGCGCACAGCCAAGAATTGCTGGAAAGTCTTGCTGTAAATGGTGGCAATCTGCAAAAGACCAAGGATGATCATGTTGAGAACCATGGGCCACTTGCGACCATACTTGTCACCGGCCAGACCGAAGAAGGCGGCGCCGACGGAACGGAGAAGCAGAGTCAGGGTGATGGCAGTGGTGATATCCGTCTTCGAGCGGTCGTAGTACTTGGCCAGCTTAGTGGTCTGGATAGACAAGGCGTGGAAGTCAAAAGCATCGGCGGTCCAGGCGCAGAAACCGCAGAGGAAGAAGAGCCAGTCGCGAGGGCTGAGCTGGGCCATGAGGCTAATGGGGTTCTTGATTGGGTCGGGATCTTGCCATTCTGTGTGCGTCTCGCCAGTTGGACTAACAACAACGGTACGCTGTCTCCAGATGAAGAGGTCCTTCAAGGACTGCTTGGCCGTGGCCAGCACGCCCTTGGCGACGGGGTCGGCGGGCTGCGCAGTCGACGTCGACATGGTGGATGTCTGTCTGCGTTTGTTGGCTCTCTAAGACACGGTCAAGTGTATGAGGGACTGAGGTGGTTGAAGATGATGTCGGTGATCAAGAGAGAGGTAAAGGAGGAAGAAGAGATGAGAGGATGAGGCACGACTGGTTGAGTTCAACAGAATGGGATGAAGAGGGGGACACAAAGCTTCTTCATATAGTTGGGCAAGCCATCGATAGCCATGCAGGTTGGCGAATCATCAGACCGTCCATCGCGTCGGTGCCAAGAGTTCACCAACATGGAGCAGGTGGATAAGGTGGTTTCGAAGGAGTTGAGAGAGACAAAAACAAAGAGCACCGGTATCGAGGTCCAGAGTGACCGGGATGGCACCGACATGCTCATGGTTTCGAAAGCGATCATCTCCCATGATGGAACGCTGCAGTGAGAAGCGTGATGATTAGTGTGGGCAGGCTGGCCAATGGAGGCCAGAACTGTTTCTGATGGATGCGTGGGGAGGTCGGAATCAATGATGCGGGGTCGGCGTCGGGGAAGAGGACAGGATGAGCATGGTGAGGAGACCAGAGGGAGGTATGCTACATGGGAGCTAGATTTGCTAGATGGCAGCTAGAGCTTTCTAGCGGGGAGAGTAGAAGAGCGTGCGGCGTGCCTCGATACGGATACCATGCAACTTGCGAGTAGCACGAGAAAAGGCGGCAGACAAGGGGGTCGAGGAGACCAGGGTGTTTGTTCCATGCCCATGCCCATGGTGGTTGGCGAAGTACGATCCCGAGAGAGAGCTAGGGAAAGCTAGGGAAAGCTAGGGACCACGAGGATTACGAGGGCGCGGACCATGTTGGGATATTGCATACGATGGCGTTCGTTGGCAAGGGAGAGGAAGCGTAGCCTGCGCCTGGTCTATGCCCACTACGGAATTCCACGCGTGCGGGAGACGGCCTTCACTCCGGCACATGATGGATCACCCCATGCAGCCGGCTTCTCAGCTAGGTAGCAAGCTCCCTACTGGCGCGGGATCTGGATGGGGAAGAGGTCGGTTGGCGTTTGTAATGATGAACCGTGGTCCATGGGTCAAGCGTCCGTCTCCCGGCATGTCCCAGTGCGGCAAAGTGGAATGCGATATGAGGCGGGATCCAAGTTAACGCGCATCATGTCGAATCCACTGGGAGTCGCCGGCCGAACACCCTCTTGTCTCCATGAATGGATTTCATTTCGGGTCGGTATGCGTAGGAGAAAGTGACGACGGTCTCCGTTTGGTCGCACAAAACGTGTCACACGCTTCCATCTCTCTTGTCTTGGTGTCTGTACTCTATGGTTTCGGGCATGGTGCAGGTTGCGCTGTAGCAGACCAGAATAGGAAACAGTGAAACGAATGGCACGTAGTAGACCCGTTGGAAAACGACTCTCGATTACTCAGTCATGGCTGGCCTTTGTCGCCATACAGTTCTGAACGGCTCCGTTGCAGTGGTAGCGATAGCTGTGATGTTGCGCTGTCGGAGCAGTGTAAGAAACGGATGGAGTTGAGGGCCAAGAATAAGCTGGTTGGAACGCTAGGAATAGCAACGGGGGTTCGATTGCGGCGATAGTGTGCACTGTGAGAAGTGAGAACCAACGCCAAACGGAGCCAGCAAGGAACGAAAAAAAAGTTACCTTAGTCAGGGCCGCGAAAAAGGGTTAGGTTGGAGCGAGTGCAGAAAAAGTTTGCGCCTCATACGTCCAGGAGGTCTTGGCTGTCTGTGTTGGGGTTTGGTCTGTGGAGAGTTGGATGGGGGCGATTGAGCAATGTTGCATCACGGCCGAATCCTTCGATGGAGCGGGAGGGAAAAGGTGTGTGTGCGTTTGTGTGATTTTGTGTGTGTGTGTGTGTGTGGGAGAAGAGGAGACCGGAGGGAATGGAAGATGAGCAGCAGAGTCAGAGTCAGAGTCAGACATTGGAGATGGTCAGAGGTAAGGAGTACGTACTCTTCCATTAGATGTTGGATGACGGGAGATGTTGGATTTAGGAAAGAACGAGGGAAATGAAAGACAAACGAATGGGAGGCACTTGAGCAGCATGACCCACCAAATCACGATCACGCCTGCCTTCATTTTGTCTTCTCTTCACGATGATTTAGAGTTCCTTCCCGGTCCAGCAGGGACCTGAACCTAAGGGAGAGCAAGACAAGGAAAGCGCGCCTTCACTGGCGTCCCGTGACTCCTCTTCTTTCCTTCGTCGATCGGTTGCTGCCTTCCAGAAGGAGCGCCAGAAGACATCCCGTCCACCAAGGTAGATACGTACATCGTAAGCATTCGACCTGAGGAAAGTCACGCTCGACTCCGGATTTTTCAGTTGCACCTTCTTCGCGCGAGACTGTACTCCTCTCAAATTATGCTTCTTCCATGCCTCGCACTACTGCCGCCACCTGGTTGCAACTTGCGAGAGAGGGGGGGAACAAGCGACACCAAAATCGCCAGCGCCAATGCCAACACCAACACCACAAATCGCAAGCGTGGGAAAGGAACGCAGGCAGGCAGGCAGACGGGCAAGGATGGGCCACGCTGACCAGATGTCGGCCAAGTCGCCAAGACTCAACGGGCGATGAGTCTGCCAAGAAAGTGCTTGTGTCCTCCTCGGCAAGCCATCCCGTCACGCCAAGTTGCTCGGCGCTGCGAGGGAGTTGAGTAAATTGTCGCCGCACTTGACGACGTCGACGACAACTGAACAACATCAATGAGGTGAGGTCACAAATTGTCGTAAAGTGAGGTCGTTTCGTCGATTCCAGCAGAGCGGTTCGCGAGATCAAACGAACACGTCTGACACGTTTGACAGCTCCGCGAACAGATTTCCCCCAGATGATCCCCCATTGGATTAGCAGATAGCCGATCCCGCACTGATGGGTACCTACCTAGGTAATGGGTGATGGGCAATGCCCGCCCAATGCACTAGCAGCCAGCCAGCGTCCGTCCCACCGTACAAGATGATGGGGGAACGGGGAAATAAGCTTAACGGGCGTTGTGGCCTGATGCTAACAAGTTAGCACCATCCGTATTACTGCCGACTACTACTGAAAAGAAGAAAATGTCTCTCATCTGTGTTGTCTCTTGGCCAATGAGAAATGTATCATGGGCCATGGTGGAGGGCAAAAATACAAGTGACAATGGAAGTCGAGGAAATTCGCGCACTGCTATCCGCCAATGGCCATGTAAGTGTTGCAACTTTGGAACCCAGTTGCCCAAGCGTCAATACCTAGCAAATGGCACGCTACAAATACCTAGGTAGTAAATTGGTGCGTGTGAGTGTCCACCAACCCGGACTACTGCGTGTCCATTCTTCTTCATCCCCGCGACCCTTTCAATTCCCCAGAGATTCTCAAGTCGGGGCCCCAGGATGGTCCGTCGAAACTGTCAAATGGTCTGCTGGCTCCGTATTACTTGCGCATTCCTGGCATGGCCACGATACTCGTCACCTTTGTGGGCGTCTAGTTGGATAGTCCGTCGGAAGGCAGTTCCACCCCTACTGTCACTGCCTCTGCCACTAGCTGACACTTGCTCCTTCCCTACCTTACTTCCTTCCTTCCACCGTTTCTCGATACCTCGTACCTTCCCCCGTCGCTTGTGAGGAAAATGATAAAGACGGTTCTTGGGAAGGCACGACCGGGGACAACCGGGGGCTCCCTCCGTCGGGCGCAACACCGATAGCGCCAACGTCTCCACTTCCCCCTCCTCTGGCCTGCGAATATTCGGCCATCTTCCGAATTATTTTCTCACAACTTCATCACCTCTGCCCAATGGTATCTTCCGTATTCGCCCCCTCACATTCTCTGCATCACCGTTCCCCACGGGCAAATTTCCCCAATCTCTGTTTCCCCGGCCTCCAGATGTCAAATCTACAGTCTAGCACGTCTAGCACGTCTAACAAGGACTGGAGTCTGGAGTCATCCGCCTGAGATCGTTCTTCAATCCACCTCATGCCGAGTCATGCTGGGTCAAATGGCCCAAGGCCAAGGTATGGTACTCCATAGTCGCATCTAGGGTTCCTCTCTGCTGGTCATCACCGCCACCAACTGAATCATCCACGGGCTACGGTTCATCATGAGTACACGACATCGCAATGTTTGCCAAGACTTTGTACCCTCAGAAACCACGCCATTGCCTCTGACTTGCTTGCCGCCAACGGAGCGCCAGTCAGCCAAAACTCCTCCCACATCCCAGTCGCTACATCCAAGCTAATGTACCGCACAGAGCAATCATACCTGGACTGCTCCAGAGAAGCCCAAGAGGCTGATAGCCTGATGCGACTTGCCCCGGCACTCGACCTCTCCGACCACCACTGACCACTCACCTCACCTCACCGGCCACCGTCCCTCCTCTCGCCTCGACTTGCCCGCCCCTCGTCTAAACTCAACCTGGAAGGACGCCCGCCCCTCGCCGTAACGTGGGAGAGTCCTTTAACCACGTATCGACCGTCCGTAATCACAAAAGTGTCTCTCGACCGAATCTCGTTTCCCCGTCTCCCCATCTTCCCCACCTCTCCAACAACATCTCCCCCGTTCAACCCCAAACCCCGAGTATTCCTTGCGGAGAAGAACGGGTCCATCATCCTCGCCAAACCGGGCCCTTTTCGCAAGCTCAACAACACCTGGCCGGCCATGCGCCTGTCTGCACCAGTGCATTCTCCCATCACCCCACCTCCGTCACCACCCACCACTCGACTATGCTCCGGCGCGCATCCTAATCCTTACCGCAACGAGGCAAAACATCTGCAGGCGCATCTCCCGAGCGTTTCGAGATCCTTTCCAGCCTTCTGGCCTCTGCTCCGGCGAGCTGCCGCGGCGTGCTACCCTGGGTTTTTGGAATACTACCGTGCCCGCCGGCCGCTATCATCATACCATGGGAGATGCGCACCGAGAAACTCAAGATCCCACCGTGAACTTTGTCCGAATCATTCAAATTCGCCGCTCCCAAACGGCGGTGAGCCGCAAGGCCCCTTTACGACACCACCAAAGCGCCTGTCAGTAGAAGTTGAAAGTCCCCGATCTCTCAAACTCGCAACTTGTGCAGATACCACTGTACCTTCGGTCCAATCGGGCGATCTTGAGAGTCGAGGCCACAGCACCTTGGTTGACACCAATCGAACGGCTGCTGACGAGCCTCCCGCTGCCCCGGCCAATGTCTCACAGCTAAAGCCTTCCCCGGCGAGACTAAGAATACTTCTAGAAGCCTAGAACCTGGAAAGGCCGCACATGCTCGTATTTTTGGAATTGCGTCGCAACTAGCTTCCCAACCTCTTCACATGTGGACTGTGGTATTGATATTCCGACATTCATCGCTGGATATCGCCCGGTGGGTTGGTTCTTATCAGCATGTTTCGGAGCACCGCGCATGTTTGAGAACGCCTGGCCTGTGACACCCTGTCTGTGCTGCTTGCGACGCTGGGAATAGCTTGCGACAGGATGTTCCCACTCTGCTTGTTTCTGACAAATTCAGGGTCCGTCGCATGTGCTACGCAACGCATTCGAGTGCTAAGATTAGATGACAGTAGCAAGAAACAAAACGACATCAGTATGCACATTTGTTTCGCTTCAGGACATTGTTGTTGGGGTCCGACGTGTCCGAAGTGACGGTCCCTGGTCGAACCAACTTACAAGCAACCCAAGCTCCAGATACAAGAAACGCCAAGGCCCCCGAGTCCGTTTTCCCCCTTTCCTTGGCTAGGCTTTTGCTCAACATCAACAACGTGGCGGCTACCTCCTGCTTGGCAGCAGACATAACAAGACGGGCACGAGAATTCCTCGCACACCACTAGGCGCTGTGCCATGAATCGCGGCTCCGCTAATGGAGGGACAACCAAGAGGTCAACCGACTTGGCTTACGCACCATTGGCACGACCTGGGAGCTTGTTTGCTTAGCTTTGGTCGAAATCGTCTCCGACGATGAATCCAACCATACAAGCCACCTTCTCTTCGAGCCGCTAGCCTACCGAACGCCCGCCTGTAGATCGGTCTTGCTCCTGGGTCAGCCATTCGTTCCGGAACTTCTTCGTGGCCCCCAGCTAGGGCAAGGCTGCCATTCCTGCGGTGGCGGCTTTGCAGAGGCCAAGCATCAACATTGACGACCATCGGCTCCATGATGGGCCCGTCTCTACATTCCGAAGTATGTCGGTTGATGGATTTCTCCGCTCACTTCGAGATCCTGGGGATCTCGAAGGCCTTCTTGCAGATCCGGGGATATACGGAGATTGTCCTCCCTTCTCTCACCCGTCGATGCGGGGTTTAAGATCACGACTACATCAGCTGAAAACGATCACAGCCAGAACCCACACTGGCAAGCGCGGAAAGAGAAAAACCGAGCTTACGATTTTCCACAGTGAAGCTTGGCCCAATGGGTATTGTCTTGGCATCTTACGATGTTCAAAGAATGGGCTTGAGGCTGTGTAAGTATCTTATGCAACACGCTTGCCGTGATGCTGGTCTCTATCGTCTCTCTGCGTTCAGTCCTCATATTTCTCAACTTTTCTCTGCCGCTTTGCGTTCCTGAGACACAAGCGATTGGTTGTCCAGTGTCTTGCTCGATTCTTTCGCCTTGCATATCGCGAAAAATCGAGGGCGGAGCTAATCGGAGCCTTCCGGAGGAGCCGCCTCGGTCATGTACCTGGATACTGATGGTCCGCTTGTCTCTTTGCGAGAAGTTGTGACAATAAGCGAGATCAGTGAATAGGGGACATAATTTGAGTTTATTAGTTGGCACGAAGTCCTCCGATAAGTTTTCGTCTGGGAATGGGGTCATCTAGCCTGGTCAGCGACTGTCTTCTGAATGACTACGCCCCTTCCATCATGCCCTATCAGATTCTGCATTGCAAACAACGCATAGAGTACCGCTTTCCCTGGTTCAGGAACTTCAATCTCCTGGAAGGTTGGATGGTCAAATGTATTTGTGAAGGCGGCGTGTCCATACTCATAGTCTGGATAACCATGAGCCAGAATCAGTCCCTTTGCAAGTCCTACTACGACCCTACAACATCTGCTCCTTCGGGCATCTACAGATCCCAATGTACTACTTCTGCACAATATGTCTCTTCTAGAATAAGTAATCCGCAAGCAGGGCGAGGTCTTTGACAGGCAGTCTTGTAAGTTCATCGATTTATTTCATTTTTCTTTTTTGCCCAATCGTCACAAAACGAACACAAAGGAATCGCACGCTCGGTTTCGCGTAGTCAAATCATATGCCATAGTTATGCCATGAATTACTACTGCTAGTACTGTCATTGTAGCGCGAGCCTGCACCGGATATTTCCTCCACCCAGCCATCACCAACTCGACCGACCTCGAAACCCCTCTGGACACCTCAGAATCAGACGTGCTTGAGAAGACCGTTCCTCGAAAATGATTTAGCTTCTCAAGGACCTCAAACCATCAAACTCACGCCATACTCCATCAACTCACTCAATTTGCGTTCCTCCTTGTGCCAAGATGACGCTCCGACTCGTCGGGTCTCGATCCCCATACGAGCTTCTCTGTGAAGACCGCAGCGGCGTAGTCCGTCTCGTCGCTGCAGACGCATTCGCAGTTCTCTCCCTCTTCCTCGGCACGTACACGGCAGGCCTCTTCTCCCATTCCTGTCTACGACTTGCATCGTGATGCAAAGTCTTCTCAGCTGCCCTCCGCTGCGAAGAAGTCTCGGGCGCTGATAGACTGCGCTGTCGGCGATCTCCAGGCGGTGTTGCTTTGGAGCTTTTTGTCTTGCCACTGACTCCTTCTTTTCCCCGTGTGACCGTTCCTCTTGACCCGTGGAGGTCCCTCCATGGAGCTATTCTTTCAGCCCTTCGTATATGAGGTGGCTCGTCGTCACGGTCATTGTCGTCGAGGAGGTCCAGAGTAGCGAGCCATTCCTTTGCCTCGCGGGCGTGCTTCTCTACTAATGCGGCGCGCTTGAGATGAGGTCTCTGTGAAGCTTGTATTTCCTCAGCCGTCAGCACGCCGCCTAACGTCTCGTTCTCGCCCATGATGATACCAATACCGGACATGATCGCCACCAACGCGAAGTCGTCGTTCAAGAAGGGAGTCTCTTTTGCGTTAGGGGGAATGGCAGCGGAGTTGAGGAATCGGAATCCTGTTCCAAGGTACGGTCGCGAGGGGTCAATTGATATCATGGCGACTAACTCTTCGTCTACTTTGGCATAGCCTCCCCTTCCGAGATACGACTGTCGTGGAGCTCTCAGGATGCGAGTCTCGTCGGGCGTGCGTTTCCGCTAGAGAAGCCACCCGTCTGAAAGGCGTAGTGTCCGAATAGATAACCCTCGACTATGCCTCCATTCGAAATCGACATCGGTCGTCATCTCCGCCCAACAAGGATCCCGAAGACGCATCGTGAAGCGCCATAGGCCCTGATACCCTCTCCCGCGGATGATACGGCTGAAAAGCGAGCGGAAGCCCAGAGCGTTCCCTTGTCGACCGCGGTCTTCGTGGAGGAGGATCTTGGGGGTGTCGCTGGAGTTGCTTTCACGGCGGCGGGGGCGCGAAGGGAGGGGAGACTGCGGTTGTTCGAGGTGGACTTGCATGGTGCGACGGGTCTTCTAGCCCGGTAGGCTTACGAGGCGGTGGGTGAGGTGCGCGATGATGGGTGCGGTGGAGAAGGGGCCTGCGTGGATGTTGATGCCGATTGCGTTGTCTGTCTCGGAGGGTTCGGCGTCGTGGGAGAGGTAGAAGAGGGGGTTGTTTGCTGTTTCGGCGAGGCCTGAGTCGAAGATTGAGAAGATTGGTGGGAGGAGGCGGGGGATTGGGGAGGGCATGTTTCTTCACGTTTCTCTCTGTCCTTGTTTAGTTGGTAGATGGATCGATTGCTCATGTTGAATGACTGATTGGAGGCTTCATGATGATATTTTTTGTGCTTTGATCAGCTTCTGAGACGGCTCGAATGAGGATGGAAATGGGTTGAGCCGGTGATACCTTGGGAAGCCTTCCTACCTGGGAGGAAGGTACCTAGGTATCTGAGGTACTCAACGTGTTGCAATGTCCTTAAGGCGGCAGTGTCCTCGCATACATGTTCGATTCAATGCCTTCCGTTCAAATCCAAGTTTTCGTTGCCTGGATTGAGTCCAAGGAAGTTGCCACAAGGCAGAACCTGCAAAATGTCGTCCAGCCATCCTGTCAACGGTGCCGTTCCGGAACGACCCACTCAGGCGGTCCGACCCGGCGCATGCCGGACCGGTGCCGCTGTGGGGTTCGTCCGGCAGCCCGCCCTGCAGCACACCCGAACAATAGATCGAGGCTTCACGGTCTATGCGCGGACGTGATATCGAAATCCTTTGCGCATGATTGCATTGTTGTCTGTACTTCAGCGATTCAGCCAATTCCGTCCTGTGAAACCCAACATGACGCCCACCTTGGAAGCGGTCGGCCGACCACCTGCATCTGCTAACTGAAATCAAAAGGTACTCTGCTAAGAATCAATCATGCTATATGCGAAGTCGGGTACCGTTTCCTGTCTACTCAGCTGTGATGAACCCGGAATATCTCCGAGACACAAAGGTATGGTGGCTAATCGGACGGCCATTGCCATTGCACGATAGGATATTGATCTAAGACATCAACGACTGTTAGGCGTCGAAGAATGCGAAGCCATCCAGCTGAACAATTGTCATGAAAGTGCATCACGGTTGCCTCAACCCTGTCCAGACTGGGTAGCAGGAATTTTGGCATTCAAGCTAGAGTCATCACATATCTTGAACATCCCTCGGGTAAGGTAAGTGTAATAAATAAGTTAGGCATGTGGTATTGCCCGGCCCGGTTCCTTGAAGTATGAAGTTCGGCTTAAAAACCCCTCTCTTCTCTTTCCATTCGTCACTTCTTACTTTGCCCTGCTCTCGGGGCTTCTTCTCCCTTTCCACTTGGCTGGCAAAGAGCTCCCCGTCTCCAATCCACTCTCAGGAGAGTAACCGACTACGACGTTTCTTCGATAGACCAAGTTCGCCTTCACGATGAGAGCTTTATTTTTGATATTGGTTGGCTTGGTATCCAATGTAGCAAGCCAAGATTACAGCAGGGTCTTGCTAGGATGTGGCCAACCTGGCAACTTCCAGCAGACCTTCACCTTGTTCTCCACCAATTCTGCCAACAGCGTAGAGTTTTGCCGAACAACTTGCTTGGTGAACAACTCTCGCTCGTTCGGCGCGCTCTTCAACGACCAATGTTACTGCAGCAATGCAGGTATCGCCGCTATCCAGTTCACACCTGACAGCATCACTAATTGCAACATCCTCTGTCCCGGAGATTCCTCCGTTAGATGTGGCGGTGCTGTCAGCTCTGCTCAGTATTTCAGCGTGTACGGCTTCAATCCCAGAGCCTCAGACTCTTCCAGCTCGTCCAGATCATCGACCCTGACAACTTCCTCAACATCCACCGACACAGGTAGCACAACTACTACAGGAACGAGCGGTACTGATACCTCAACAATCTTGACCTCGTCATCATCCAGTACCTCGAGCTCCTCAAGCAGCGGGTCAACAATCATCGTTACAGATTCTAGCACTACTTCTCCATCTTCACTCGTCTCCACCTCGACATCCTTGATAAGCTTCAGCAATACTTCTACAACTTCAACGCAATCATCAACTACCTCTTCTTCGAACTTGGGAACAACTTCATCCACCAGCACCTTCAACACCGATAGCTCCAGGACTAGCACGGGGCTTTCTACCACCTTGAGCATGAACCCAAGTGCGAGTTTGAACGCCACAAGTAGCAGCGGAACAACAGGCTCTTCCTCTTCATCCTTCACAGGCTCTTCCTTGACATCCGGGAGCACAGGAACGTCTACTTCTACGCCTTCCGCCACTGCCAGCACGACCAGTAGCAGTGGGAGCTCAGGATCATCCGTCATATCAAGCTCCACTACAGTCATTATTTCTTTGTCGTCTGTGACTTCTTCATCTACGATTTATAACTCTCCGATATCAAGCTCAAGTTCAAGCCCCTCGACATCCGCGACCACACCAAGCACTAGCCAGACGAGCATCCAATCGAGCACATCCTCTGCATCACAAGCTTCTTCCTCTGGGGCTCCATCCACATCGCCTACAATATCTTCAACCACTGGGATAACAAGCACTGCCTCAACTTCTCAGATTACTGCTAGCTTTGTTCTCACTGTTTCAGTCTTGCCTGCAGCCACTGCATCGGCTGGTTGAGTGATATGATGTGTCAAAGGAAAAGGGGATGGCGCGAGACAAGTAGGGGAAAGACAGCAAACCAGTTGAGTACCCTTTGGCGTCGGGCATCTGAAGAGAAGTCTTTGTGGCGATATTTAAACCATAGAAATGGGGGTACGGATAATTCATGTAATTCAATTTGCTTGTAGTTGAAGAACAGCACATACTCAATAGTCAAACAGAAAGATATCACTGCTATGGCCTTGTTGTCCCTAGGATTGTCGAGTGTATATTAGAAGCCGATCTTATCATTCTTACTTATGTTATCCATGCTTGATCATTCGAATCTTTAATTCTCATCGTTGGTACGGGGTCTATGATAGGTGTGGCTACAACCTGCTTCGCAACGACATACGTTGAGCAGTTCAACCAAGTCAATTCCACTGAGATTGATTGAAGTAGGTATGTTTCTTAATGTTGCAGTATTGCGCACAGAGGTAATGACGGCTTGAAACTGGACTAGACTAAATTCCACATAATTGAGAAAGTCGATAGGTATCAATAAGTACTTAGATTGGTAAAGGCATTGATTCACGAACTTTACCTAGAAAAACATGTTGTCTTGATGACTCTACACGGCCTAATGCTTGGACGAAGGGGTTAAGTCGCATTTCATGCTTTTCAACTGGCCATGCAGTCGAGTATTGCAACTTGAAGATGGAAGATAGTGTAACAAGATGTGTTTCCTGAGTAGTCACAGGCATTTACTGATGATTCGAGGCCAAGGGCTCTGTAAACATCATCAAGAGCTATGATACCCTTTAGGTCCCAGGAGTAGTCTCCTTGATCTTTCATATCAGCTATTGAGGACAATACATAGACCGTGACTTGGTATCGATCAATGTCTGTTTCATTCAAGTCGATATTGTTGGAAAAGCGCATTATTCCCCATATCTAGTAACGACCTTCTCCGTTCTTGGCGGAAAGTGACTTTGGCAATCTTTACTCTAGAGTATTGTATCCAGCTCCATATGAATTATTTTACAACTCCTATTGCACTGTTGTGAAGAGTTGTGTAGCGGGCTTTCGATTTGTCATCCAACCACAATCCAACACACTTGGTAACCAAAGACAACAGTCATTCAGCACCTTAGTCGAACCATGGAGAGATTAACAAAGCAACCACTGACTCTCCGTTGCCATAGCATTATTCTCCCGCCGACAACAGTCTCCTCGTCGTCAGCGATCAACAAGGGAGAATGTTCGATGGATCCCCCTGAAATGAAGGAAATTCCCCGATTTGATCCACACGTGCATGCTGTCTGCGAACCGGATCCGCCCCAAAGTTTCTCAGCAGCACACGGACCGTCGATAGCCCATCTTGAACAAGCCTCGTGAGAAAGGGACAGGGCCCAGGGGACCATGCATCGTTGGGCTGCGACGGGAGATTACGCAGTCTTACAACCCGACTCTACTGGGGGACGGGGGCTTCAAGCTCCAACAGCAAGGGGTTATTTGCCGCAGGTCTCGAATGTGACAAGTCGATTTTCTTTCTTCTACCTTGTTTATGAGAACCATGTGGATGAATGACTGGTTGCGGACTTCACGATGGCTTCATTTCCAAGGACAGTGATGCCACTGGAACGTCCACCGGTATAGCCGAAGCCCTGCACACCAACTTTTTACAACTTGGCAACGAAACGAGGACGGCTGCCAATATCATGCTTCAAGGGGTGCACCGAACTTTTCTTCCCTTGCCGAGTCCTAGCTACCAGGTCACGATAGTAAGAAAAGAATGAGCAAAAAGCATAATTGTTCCTGATATCAGGTGGGCCCGGGAGTGTGGTAAGTTGCCGCGGACCCGTGGCGTAGCGGCGTGGGGGTCGCCCATGACGGTGTGTTGCATTCGGCTTAGACGAGCCATCACGGTAGGTGACATTTGTCACCGCACGAGAAACAGTTCGGTCAAGCTTTTTCACGGCGATGTGTTTTGGCTACCTCCCTGGCCGTTTTCCTGCGGCCACCTTCCTATTCGTGCCTTGATGTTCTCATGTCTTCGTGGGTTGTCGGTGGGTAGCATTGATATCGGCCCTACGGCTAAGGTAGTTTTGAAACCAAGACTTGACGATGCGGCATAGTCACTGAAGCCCGCCCGGGTTGCAGATGTGACTGAGAGAGAGGTACACGCGTCAACGGATGGCTGTTGAGATGATAGCATCACATGTCGGATGCAATGTTGAATGCAGTGTCGAGATTGCGAACCTTGCCCTGAATCACGGCAGGCTGAGCATGTTGGCCGTGTTGAGTCAATACTGCTGCAGCATCACGAATCGCCGATGACATGTTATCAAAGTTTTGCGTCGCCTCAAGCCAGCATCTCACCCGTCGTCATGCAGCATGCCGGTGACCCAAAAGGGGGTGGGAAGCAAAATAAAACAGCCCCCAAATGATGTTGTCCCCCTTGCCCAGCACAGCGCTCGTTTCAAGCTGAACTCTGACTTCTAGATCATCCAATGCCGGATGGCACTTGAAAACGTGTGGTGGATGCTCGGCGCGGACTCACCCGCCGTTGACTAGACTGCAATGCTTCTCACCTACTAATACATACTTCCATCTTCAAGCTGCTGCTAAGCTAAGATAGTTCGGCCACTTCATCAATGATCAGCCCGTAAAACAGAGTTTCTGTTTAGTCCGGCTGCAACTTCCGGACCATCTGCGATGCTGCGATGAGAAGAAAAAAGTGGTTGACACACGAACCACGAGATGGTCCCGATACCGCCCTCGTTTCGGACGGGACGCGGCCTAAAGTGGACCATCACCGACCGGACGAAGAAGGTCTCATCTTATTTTAGGACTTGGGCTCTACCGACACAGTTTTTGTTTCCCTGGCAGGTCCAGGGCTCAACGTTCTGGAATCTGTGGAGTTTTTTGTAGCGGAAAATCTTATGGTGTGACAAAAAATTAGGACTTGGGAAATGGTCACAAGAAAGAGAGAAACTCCACTGTTGGGAGAGAGCTCTTCCCTCTATCCGTAGGGGTCTAGACAAACATGCCTCTTCATTCCCTTGCGCACATCACACCAGGGGCACCCGATAGGAGTTGTCCACAGGGTTTACGCCGCTGTGAAAGATGGAAAGTGCGAGGGGGCACGGATAGTCAAATTGCCATGTGTGTGGATCGGGGGCATTGGGCTGGAACTTTGAACAGGGCTTCCCGAAGCGTGATGGATATCACGATCATGAGGCGAGGCAGAGATTTAAACCACAATTTGACAAACAATCAGTTGGATCGAAAGGATTTGGAGTCGTGAGGGGTTTCACGCCGCAGCAGAGGCGTGTCAGAGTACATTCTGGCCCCTGGATCCTGGCTTCAAGCTACAAAACCCATTCCTTCCCTCGGATCCTGTACCGAATGCAGCTTAATGGGAAGAGAGGGGAAAGACGGGATAGCTGCAGGACAGTCACAGTTGGGGCCCCGGGGGCGACTTTATTGTGGAATGGAGCAATTTTTGGGGTTCCGCCGAGGAGGAGAAATGCGAAAAGGCGATGGCGCAGAGTGGTGGGAAACTCGGTCGGATCGTGAAAGTCTTTTTGGAGAAGAGGAGATGGGGACCTGAGGGGGAGAAAGAGAAAAAGAGGATATCTCGAAATATGGATCCAAGGCTCGGGATTTCCGGATTAGGGAAACCGAGGAGAGGGACGTGGAGGGGACGTGAACCTGTGAAAGCTGAGTGAGTCGACGATGAGCGACAGGGGGCCCCTTTTTGTCATCACACGGACGAGCGAGACATAAGCTGGAACGGCCGATATATCCACTCCCGGCCGCCTAGTGGAGAGGTCAAGAAGAGTATCCGTACGGATAGGTAAAATGATTGAGTGTCCGTGGTTGGGAACCGACGAGTACGCGGGCTGAAGACGATGGATTTCGGTACCTTGCGCAAGGGAACAGGCGAGGAAAGAGGAGCTTCGTCTTTGCAGCTTGCTTGGAATCAGCGGAATCCGGTGTAGAGCTTCTCAAGGCTTGAGAGGACGACCTGGAGCTTGGAGGGGTCACCCCATCTTCCTCCCGTCGCGGCAGGGCGGTCTAGAACGGCGGCCGAAACTCTTTCTTGCGGTGGGATGGATGGGGTGTGTGTGGACGGGTCTGATTCACGATGGTTGATGCTCCTCCCGGTTCCGGTGTCCCGGGCGGCACGGGAGGGCGGGCAAACGCATACACGCAACGCACGGCACACACGCACGCACACACATCTGTGGTGTCAATCACGACTTAAGTTCGAATGAGATTGGCAATCTGTGTTGGCAACGTCGGTGCGCGGCATGAGTGATGGACGGCGCGCCGCATGGATGTTGTGATAGGGGGGTGCTTAGTAGGAGGGGGGGCCAAAGATGGTGAACGGGCGTCACAGCCTCACTCAGGATAGAAACAGTAGATCGGTCATCGGTGGACATATTATGGTCGCGACCGTTGCCGTGGTAGTGTAGTGTAGTAGTTCTATCAGATACGAGGGTTACGCGCGTAGACTCGTAGCTTGTACGGGGAGTTTTGCTGACCGAGGACAAAAGGTATGATAGATTGGATCGTTCGAATGACGAAGAACAACAAGTACCGACGACAGTGAACCTTGGGACAACTCAGGATCGCCAACTCAAAGTCAGATCACAATTCCAAGGAACGCTGGACAGATGTTCATGTGATAGTGGGGTCTGTTTTACATCATCGAGTAAGGGCCGTTGTACGTTCCGTCCTTCGT